AATCCATCCATATACACATATGTATACACACATCGTATATATTATGTTATATACTATACGTAGATATAATACCTAATTTGAAAAGTTCGTGCACATTATTATTTAAATGACCTATTGACAGTTGTCCGCTAAGTCCAGGCTATTTCATAAAAAAGACAGAGAAAGAGAGATTTTTTTAAATTAATATTCTCGTAATTACCTATTCTCTATCGTAACAGAAGCACTGGAGCTTGAAATATTCGGACTCTCAAGAACGACACGGGACCCCCAACAAAAACGTTTGTCTGCACTCCGCGGAAAAACCGCCCGAATTAGCAAAGGGGGTTGGATTAAGGCGGACCGCATTTAATCCTTCACTAAGAAGGCTTTGCTTAAACGAGTTCTAACGACCTAAAGATAAAACAATTACCGAGAGCGTAATTTAAAGATATAAGACACTTGTTACTTCTTACCTTTGTCGGATGTTTTAAGCAACGGCTTGGCTCTGCCTCCGACTTTACTGATGTCCATGAGTAATGATGACCACTCAGCGTCAGGTGTGCCGCATGATCGTCTGCCTACAAGGTCATTAAAAAAAAATCATTTAATGCGTTTCGATTTGAAGTCGTCGTGGCCTAAAGGATAAGACGTCCGGTGCATTCGTGTGTAGTGATGCACAGGTGCTCGAATCCCGCAGGCGGGTATCAATTTTTCTAATGAAATACGTACTTAGCAAACGTTCACGATTGACTTCCACGGTGAAGGAACAACATCGTGTGATAAAAATCAAGGTCGCAAAATTATAATTTGTGTAATTACTGGTAGTAGGACCTCTTGTGAGTCCGCACGGGTAGGTACCACCACCCTGCCTATTTCTGCCGTGAAGCAGTAATGCGTTACAGTTTGAAAAATGGAGCAGCCGTTGTAACTATATTGGAACCTTAGAACTCATATCGCAAGGTGGGTGGCGGCATTTACGTTGTAGATGTCTATGGGCTCCGGTAACCACTTAAAAACAGGTGGGCTGTGAACTTGTCCACCCATATATGAAATAAAAAAAAATACTGTTATTTTCGTCCTTTAGTGACTCTTGCATCCATCGCAGTCCATTTTATGTCAATTAGGAACTGTATTACGTTTTTCGGGGGAGAAAACTCTAGCTTAGGTTGTTTGAATTTGTTTATTTATATAGAAATCAATACATCCACTTCTACTAGTATATTTGAATAATAAATTAAATTTTAGTACGCTATTCTGACCGTTCACGAATCAAATAAATTCAGGGAAAGAAACGAAACATTCGAGATTCGTTTTCCTTATTACGCAATAAAGGATCCCAATATCAAATCGGGCGTGACGTTTGTCGTTTTATCACCTTGTCACTCCTCCTAATATTTTTTTTACCTCAATTACGGCTCCCCCCCAAGATCGCAAATAACCATTTCGGAAGATTAAAATAAAATTCCCCCCGAATATTGATATCGATAGGAGTTGATTGGGAGTATCGCTATGAATCCCTGTAGTGTTATGTAGCCTTTTTCGGATTCGCGTGTTTCTTTTACAACAGTTAATGTTTATAATATTATTATAATAAAAAATACTTTTACGGATTAATGTCACGTTCTTTATTGTTATTATTACTATATTATTACAGACGTTCTAAATACTTTACAGTTTTCGTGGTCACTGATAGTGGTGACAATAAAAAAACGCACGCAACTCTTTAAGAGCTGGCAACATTTAATTGTTGGTAGTGTTGGCAGTATGTTATGCGTCTAAACCAGCCGATACCACCTTATCGTCAATTTCAAATACTACCATGAGGCAGCTATTCCGACACATTTAAAACTTCTATTTCATGTCACTATGTGATGTCTATGGTCTCCAATAAGGGCAAAAAGACCATAACTGTGTCCGTAAACAACAATTAAAAAAAAATAGAAAACAAATCTTTGGTTTCCAAAACCTTTAATATAAAATAAGACTTCGTAAAGTAACGACCGACTTAAATACGAAAGTGCCCCTGGAAAGCTTATAAAAAGTAAGAAATTAATCTGCAATTCAAAATCCTTGCCCTCTTACACTTTTATTCGCTCATTCTTTCTCGGCCATCTGCGTCAAACTGGCAAGAACATCATTTTATATAACTTTATTATTGTAAGTACATTATGTATTTTCTATAAGTGCGTCAACGCGACTCGCAAAATTATAATTTGCGCGGGCAGGTACCACCACCCCGCCTATTTCTGCCGTGAAGCAGTAATGCGTTTCGGTTTGAAGGGTGGGGCAGCCGTTGTACCTGTACTGAGACCTTAGAACTTATATCTCAAGATGGGTGGCATATTTACGTTGTAGATGTCTATGGGCTTCGGTAACTTAACACCAGGTGGCCTGTGAGCTCGTCCACCCATCTAAGCAATAAAAAAATAAAAATAAAAGATATTACAAATAATGGCAGTATGTTAATTACATACATTAATTCAACAAATCAATTACATTATGTAACGTAAACGCAGATCATTGGCCATTAGAAATTCAATATTATCGTAACGACGCTCCGATGTCAATTCTTCAAGAAAATTTATTCATTAGAATTGTAAATTAATTACTCGTTATTTTCGCTTTCCGCCTACATTCGGCATTCGGAGCGGAATCCGCACACCCGCGAGGGTCTACAAAACTAATTACGTATCGAAGCGTTCTTCTTCCACGTTTTCTTACGTGCCTTTCGAATTTCCATATAAGTTGAGTTTTAAACGAGCCAATCTATTCACGTCTACACATCAGGGGGTCACATTTGCATATAGAACAAAAATTTATTAAATCTGCGGCCAATATTCTGAGAGCCGACATCGCCGCTTTGCATCTTTCTATCACCTCTTTTCAATATCGAATACTCATTATGGGTGAATCATATCCATAATACACTAAAGCAATACCGATATAATGTTTCGGTATACAAAATGTATGAGTGCTTAAAACAAATAATTCGTAAGTGCTAACATTAATTTTGATAATCGTAGACAAACTTCCTGTCCGAATTATCCGTGGTGGTTGCCGAAACCCAAAGATACTACAACTGGACGGTAGCGGGGAAACCTTAAAGCATTAACTTGAAGCCTCCGTTGAATTAATGTAATGGCGGTTTTGTCTCTGCGATTAAAACGTTGTTAATCATTAATAGTAGGTACTCTAGATAGGAATTAAGAAAAGAAGAAATAGCGTCATATAAGTATTAATTCAGAATCCAACATATGACTATCTCATATCGATACTGAAAACACTCAAACGATATAAGAGCCAATAAGTAAACATTCACATAACCTGAACTTGAAACATATTTAGCAAAGATAGTGACTAGAATCGTTAATAATGGCTGTCAGGATTGTGAACCACTCAGGCAAAATCAGCGATATCTACTGCTCGGCTTTCTGTCTGTAAATTAAAAACAGTTTTTATCAATAATTGCGGCTCAGAGATGAAGACGTTTGATGTACTTACACGAAACAAACGATGCTATTCAAACGTCACAGGAATTTATCCAAAGGAGTTATTTCAAAGCAACACGTACCTACTTAACACGTGTTGACGAATGACTCCGACGATGAAAGAATCTTTTCGCCTATTTCAGCCGCGAAGCAGTAATGTGTTCTAGCTTGAAGGATAGGATAGTCGATGCAGAACACAAGTGAAAATTCAACCATATGTCTCATAGTTGCCGGCCGTCTCTTTGGTATCAATGGACTGCAGTAAACCATTTAATACCATGTGTGCCATGATTTCGTTAAGCCACATGAGCAACAAATCAAACGTGACTATAAAATATCTTGAGATTTTTATGCAGTAACAAAATATATCAACAACGTAGGATACTTAATATAATTAAATATTTTTATTTCCAACCAAATTTTGTTACAAATCACTCCAATACATTAAATGTTCCATGTTCTTAAGACACTTCCGTCGTCTTAATTGGCGGGCGTCATTAATTGTTAAAATTAATAAATTTGATTTAGAACTCTCAAGGGAGATAAGTTATAGGTTATAATGAAAATTGAACTTCTAAGACAGTTCACAAAATTAACAACGAAAGAAATCAAATCAATTTATTAATTGCAACTCTACTTTAAATGATGCAAATTATAAGTCTTAGAACTCTATTCGTTACAGAGCTATTAATTTAATTACACCGTGTTGTTACATATTTCAGCGCTCATTGTGTAAAACAAAATGCGATGCACTAGTGTTTTCATTACAAAAATAATATGTACAAGCCGCTGAGAAGCATAAAGCGCGCAGGAATGGGTTGAGTGCTGTTGCATTTTAATTAATTCTCTTTTCTATCGCGATGTGGTGTTATCAGCCTGCCGCAGGCGTCGCGAACAAACAAATAGCTGTTACTCTCGGGACATAACGATTTTGACACAGCCATAATGCGAGTTTTTCTTCTGTGTTACGACTAGTGTACACACTGTTATTAAAATCTTCGAAAGCACTTTTATCTTAGCTTAATTTGAATTATGGAAAATACCTCGTCGAGTAGGTCGAAAGAAACAAGTGGAAATATCATTTGACCTGTATAATTCAAGTTGAGAGTTTGCAATCAAAATGTTACGTCAGTGAAAGCGACAAGTCCTTATTACGGGAAAAAAATCTCGACCGTCGGAGGAAATAAAACTTTTTGAAGTGCTAATATATTTTTGATNTTTTATCTTAGCTTAATTTGAATTATGGAAAATACCTCGTCGAGTAGGTCGAAAGAAACAAGTGGAAATATCATTTGACCTGTATAATTCAAGTTGAGAGTTTGCAATCAAAATGTTACGTCAGTGAAAGCGACAAGTCCTTATTACGGGAAAAAAATCTCGACCGTCGGAGGAAATAAAACTTTTTGAAGTGCTAATATATTTTTGATGGGATTTATAATTCGCTCGTCTATCCTGTTCATGTGAAACGAGAAAAGTTATTTCAATAAAAAGTGTTAACTCGTTTTAGAATTTTGGTCCCTTGTAATTCTTCAGGCGCTCGACGGGCAGAATATCTACAACGGGTGCTGCACACTCCGCATCGACTATTCGAAGATGACTTGCCTGAACGTGAAATACAACAATGACAAGTCGCGGGACTACACGAATCCGACGCTTCCCTCCGGAGACGGCGACGCTCATCAGCTGTTGACCAGTGAGTTGATGCCACTGCGAGCACGCCTCGCGCTGGCCCTCGCATCCAGGATGAGTTAGTCCTCTACTACTCCGAGCACCTGGACGCTTTCAACACTGCCCTCAAACTTGAACACGCCCTTGTAGACTCTTCATTACCTACCGTTTTTCTGATTGCGCTTAGTTTGATTTTTGAAATTTTATTTCGTTAAATGTCTCATAATAGCATATCTCTTTGTACCTTACATTACGTATCTGACTCGATCAGCAATACAGAGTGACTCTTAAAGTGAAAAATCTACTTAACATTGTTCACCTAGTCAAAAGACAATAGCTTGTTATACATACTTATTCCATTTCTTATTTCTTAGATACAGTTCATGATACGATCAATCTACTTTCCAATCCCCACTGCACTATAGAGAGAGAATTTCTCACACGTTCTTTAAATCAATCTTATTTCTTTGTGATGTTCTGTTCAAACTTCGACATACCTATATAATTTTAGTCAGTATTCTTTTAAATTAACATTTCCTGAAATTGATTATTTGTTTTACTTAAAGTTTGTTAATGCTTAATTGCTAAAACATAAAATTAAAAAATCCTATTATTGATTGAAAATTCTTTTGAAATCGAACGTTTGACGTTTTCTTATTATTTTTCTCTTACTAATTACATGTTGTAATATAACAGGCGGAGGTGTATTGGCGCCCCAGTTCCTGGGCTTGGGTTCGGGATTGGCTTCACCGTATGGTGTAGGTGTCGGTGGAGTGGGGCTCCCAGCCTTCGGAGCTCTCACTCTCACACCAGCCTCGCCTGCTCTGCGAGCTCTTGCTGCCCCACCTTTGCCATTAGCCACAGTCCTACTGGTGTCTAACCTAAACGAAGAGGTAAGTCTCCCGCTAACATAACCAAAATTTTACGAGAACACTGATAATAAAAGACCACTTTACATTAATAATCAAAAGAAAAGTGGAACGTAATATAAACATGTAATAGTTCCCGTATTGGCAATAATCATCACGCTAAGATAACAGTCGGTAACGTCTACATAATGGATTCAAGTTTACAAAACATCAACTAATGCATCCACTAATACGAACGTCGTTACGGGCTGTTTGAATTGTATTATTATATTCTATGTAAACTCCTTAAAATAAGTTGCTAATTTATATAGATATGATGTCAGATATCTTTTACGACTATTTATAATACTGTCTCTTTTCTCTTTCCTATTGTTTTAGATGGTCACGCCTGACGCTCTCTTTACCCTTTTCGGTACGTGTGCACATACATTCCGTATTTTATATTAAAAACATTAATATTACTCCTGAGCCCTGTCGCCTGGAAGACAAATTGTCAGCTAACATTCTTGTCTTCTCTACTGATAACCGCATCCGACGAATCTACGTCGAAGCTTCGCTTGATAACACCGTTCCAGTCTTGAATGCTTTATTAACTCGTTTGACAATTTGTGTTTCAGACCCACACTTGTAGTTAAGTTAGTGTATTTTGTACCCAGTTTTGTATTTTCACTGTAAACCACCCGTGTCAGTTATACCTAAATAAGAATCGTTAAACCTGCCTAAAATGACTGATTTAATGACAAAAAATACTATTGTCACATCCCGTTTCGATTGAATTCAAATTCTTTTCTGGTAAAAATAGAATGTACATTTAGTAACAATGTTGTATTGAAAATTTTGCTTAAGATAAACTCGTTCGAGGCTCATCTGTTAACAGCTACAATATTAATCGATAGCTTAACGTGACCAGCTTAGAGAGCTTAGAATTGTTTCTTCTTGTGTTATCTTCTCGCTATTGTTTCGTGGCATTACCAAACAACTTAAAATTCCTTGTGTATTGTCATCTTGCAATAATGATTTATAAGATTACATTCAAGCTAGCGACTACTCTTATGGCATATTTTGGGTACTGTTAATAACGATGTCAGTAGTTTAGTTAGATATTGAAGAACTAAATTTTTTATTGTTATCCGAGCTTGGATATGTTAAGATCAAATATTGACTTGTAAGACATTCTGTATGTATAGGCGTGTATGGTGACGTGCAACGGGTGAAGATACTTTACAACAAGAAGGATTCGGCTTTGATTCAGATGGCAGAACCGCACCAGGCCCATCTAGGTATGATAAATACAAATTATGGTGTTTCTATTACGAACATTCTAGAGGCACTTTCAAGAATTTCATTATTAGGTCAAACATTGACAGGACATATTACGAAAATCAAGGGTTTTCATCTCCTGCCTCCTCTAGCTTCTCTTAGCTACTTCATCATAATTCCTCTATACCAGTAGTGACCTTATTCGGTACTTAACTTCCTGTTCCCTGTTTCCTCATTCCTATTTTGAACAATTTCCTCTTTTTTTTTATAGTTTAGATGTGTGGATGAGCTCACGGCCCACCTGGTGTTGAGTAGTAACCGGAGCCCATAGAAATCTAGGTACAATGTAAATACTGCCACCCACCTCGAGACATGAATTGTAAGGTTTCAGTTTTAACAGTACAAGGGAAGCACTCACGCGATCTCAAAGATGATATTCGTAATGACTGTACAATGAATATTTAAGCTCTCATAAGCTTGTCCTAATTTCTTCCTATTCGTATACTCTTAACAGAGTGGTCGTGGTCATGCATCAGTCGGATCCTGCGATACCGATGCTCTCGCGATGCGACGCCATGTGGCACGGTGTTTCGCAGAGTGAGAGCAATAGCTTATGTTGGAGTGAGTCACAGATTTTATGAGGTCGGTCCATCGTGTTGGAGATCGTCCGCGAGAACTTTTGCCCTCGACTTTCCCTTGCACCACCAACCGCTCAACGTAGTCCTCATTACGAGTGATGTGCCCGAAGAACTTGAGGATTCGTATTTGGACTGTTGACGATAGTCTCTCCTTGATGTTGACTTAAGTTGAGTTGTCCTAATTTGTTACATTCAATTTCAGCCCTGACCCACATGGACAAGTTACGCGTGTTCGGCAAGGCAATGCGCGTTATGCTAAGTAAGCACCAAACTGTTCAGCTCCCTAAAGAAGGACAACCTGACGCTGGTCTTACCAGGTAAGTGAAGTTCGCATCGTTAAAATCGCCCTCAACGAAACAAGGATCACGGCAATGAGGCTATTTGTGTTATTAATGTAATTTTTTTGGTACAGGGACTACTCGCAGAGCCCACTCCACAGATTCAAGAAACCCGGTAGCAAAAATTACCAGAACATCTACCCGCCAAGCGCCACTCTGCATCTGTCGAACATTCCGTGAGTATTCTTTTAATCTTCAATAGTTACACAACGTTATAATTTCAAGAGATCTTGTTTAAATTGCTAATGATGATGTTTCAGTGCCACCGTGACTGAAGAGGATATCAAAGATGCATTCTCCAAACGGGGATTCACAATTAAGGCTTTTAAATTTTTCCCGTAAGTTTCAATTCAGTTTCGTAGAACAAATCTGAAGTGATGCATTGATACCAGATTTAATGTTGAATTTGTGAATGCATGTAGAAAATTTCTACCAATTTCTACCTCAGGTTCTTACAAGAAGAGATTGTAGTGGCAACACCAAACAATAGAATAGCATCACGTCATATCTTTCTGTGAGCGACATAAAAGACGACTAAGGAATTAGGAATTTTTTTTATTGCCCTTGTAGGCAGACGAGCGTACGGCTCACTTGATGGTGAGTCGTTACCGTCACCCATGGACTTCAGTAATGCCAGGGGCAGAGCCAAGCCGCTGCCTACCGTTAAATTTACCGTTAAATTAATGGATTGCCTGTTGTCTTTTTTTATTGCTTAGATAGCTGGACGTACTCACGGCCCATCTGTTGTTAAGTGGTTAACGGAGCCCATGGACATCAACAACGTAAATGCCGCTACTCACCTTGAAATATGAGTTCGAATTGTCAGTTTTTACAGTACAACAATTACCCCACCCTTAAAAGAGAAACGCATGACTGCTTCACGGCAGAAATAGGCAGGGCGGTGGTACCTCTCCGTGCGGGTTCACGAGATGCCTGAACCATAATAAATAAGAAAGCTTTTCGTATTCTTTGACATTTAACATTATTGAAGGGAAACTTCTAATGCGACTTCCAACAAGGTTGCGTTAAACGTGTAACGCCACCATACTAGAAAGAGAGAGCGAGAGTGCATGCGTGGCACTCGAACGCACGCGCGTAGTATACCTGTTACAGGCCAGCGCGAGCGTTAGCAACAACTAGCGTCCAATATTTTAATGAAGTATTTAAAAATACAACTAATACTTACAAGACCAATCTGATTTAAAGATGAATAATGAAAACAACCACAATACCTACTAGACATCGAAAAAGAAGTTTCACTTCATTCACGTGCACCAAGTTGCACACGCGCCGCTTTTTTTCTAATTTTATAGTAACAAAGCAATTATAAAATATTATGATGTGTTTCAAATAATATAGATAAAGAGTTCGATTTTTATTTACAGGAAGGACCGCAAAATGGCTCTGGTCCAACTGTCGTCCATCGACGACGCAGTGACCGCGCTCATCAAGATGCACAACTACCAGCTCTCGGAATCCAACCACCTCAGGGTGTCTTTCTCCAAATCAAGCATCTAAACGGATTCGACCGGACTATCACACTGAATATCACACAATACTTGGCAGTCGCGTCCGTTCTATTGGATCTAAACTATAATTGAAGATTCTTACGGTACTGTTTGTCATAATTATTTTATATTGTATCGACGGAGACTCGTGTTCCAGTAACGCATATCAATTCGATGCGACTGTCAATTACATCTCACCTCTCATAAAAATCGAGAATTTTCGCTCGACTGAAAATTTTATATATGTATGTATTACGCTTACTCGGATCAGTCTATAGATTAAGTGCTATTCTATTTTCTTATATGAATAACATTTAACTGTTACAATATAATTAAATCTAAGATGAATCGTCACATGAACATTAAGCCGAATCATGCTTGTTTTATCAAAATAGTATCTAACTTCCATAACCGTTGTTACACAGGAGAGGATTTCTATTTTGTGTGATATTCGTTCTAATTATTTGTTTACGTACGTTTTTATTCTTGTAGACAATTCGTGCGTTGATTTCTATATTGTATCAACATAATTTGAATTTATACGAATTAAAATAACAGTTTTATTTTGCAATTAGATTGCGCTAGATTCGTTTGGCAATATTATGTGAAATGGAACGTATTTTGATAGCAATGTATGACATTGCCACGCTTGTTGTTTTCAATTCAGGATACGGAAATTTCCCTAATTATTATTACATTACATTGTTATTATATTCATCGGTTACAATATTTACAATATGATTTGCAGTTACAACTCTTGAATTGTATTTTATAAAATATATTTTATTCGCTCTTATTAAAAATGCACAATTTACTATATTATTATTATTATATTTTAATAGCGTTTTCTTTATAAATGTAGTTTTGTGCGCATACACATTTTTTTAAATTATTATTATTATTATTTTAAATACAGAAATGTCATATTTAGAAATGTGTATGTGTGTGCAATATTAGTTGTAGAAGTAATTGTTAAATAAAATATATTAGACACAACTGTCTTCTGCTGCCGGATAATCGGTGTCCATCTTCATGCTTCCATACTTGTTTCGTTATTTAGGTAAATATTATCTTTGCTTCGATAATATAATAGTTATTGACGATTAGTTAGTGTAATCACAGTTCTATAGCTAAGCCTCTAGTTTTAAATCACTTTTTAAGCGTGGCCGCTCACGTCACGTTTTCAAATTCGGTTTCGAGAACCAGGAAATGCGAATACGATAATAATGTTTCTGTGTGCTTTAGTGCGAGTTTTTTAACGTTCTCGATAGCGTAAAAGTTAGCTCATATTTGTATGGAATGGGATCGTTTGCCTACGTTTGTCGCTAAGGGCGCTGTTCCAACTGCATACAAAATTGGACTAACTTTTACGCGAACGTTAACAAACTCTCACTAATCACACTATTCACGTTTCCGTCCGGAAAAATTAAGAACGTGTGTTTTTATTTCTTTTTCCCTACTTAAGCGTTGGTAGTCTAAGCGGCTATTTCAACAACTCACGGACCGATAGGTGAGCTCACGGGCTCAACCTGAGAGAATTACTCACACTGGCCCTAACAAGAGCAGTGATTCGCTGTACCTACCACCGGATCGGAATCGCGATCCACGGAGAAAACCCGAAACTCAGTGGGTTAAGCGTGTGCGCTGTATAGAGCACTTCAACGAAATGCATTGCATTCGGAAATCGAACACGGGTTTCCCGTTTCCCTTTCGGAACCTAATAAGGAAAAATGGCGTGCGCGGTTAAACTATAACGTTATGTTCAGTGACATAATAGTGACATGATGCATTTATTTCGATGATAATTTAAATTAATGGTAGCTACAACATTAAATAATGTAAAATAAATGCTCGTGCATGCGTTTCACTAAACGATTAATTTAAGGTTATTATTTATTTTGTCCCTATACGCGGGCAGTGTGACCAGCTCGAATGCGACATTACAGTTGGCAGGTAAAGTCGACGCGGTCGGTCACACTACCTTACTACGGGCTCATAAGGACTCGCATCCAGGACCGTAAAACTATCTAAAGAAAAAAAAAAGGTCACACTCGCTCGTGAGAGGCGACAAGGGCGATTGCGAAAGTATTAGCACGATCTGATATTGCTCTAATACATAAATAATCAGCAGTATTTACACTAGGTCACAATAGTTTACTTTAATAAAACAGTATTTTAGATGAATAACTGTCGCTCGGTTCTTCGTATTGTAAATAATATGTTCCTTTGTTTCAACTTCGGCCGCCTAAACTTCACATACTCTCGCACTCCGCTAATAAAAAAAAATCACGATTGGTTCTCACACATGTTCGCCTTCTTGAATTAATTTGAAATGCGTCTAGTCCAATAAGAAGGAGATTAATGTTTTGTATTTTTTTTTTTCGTTAAGTAAATTTACTGACACGGGAAAATTTCAACACACTCTTCCGAACGTTTTTTTTTTTTTTTAATTTAATGAAATTATATTAAATAGAATACCAATTGTAGTGAGTTCGGTCTTAGACGTCTCGAAATACGGCCTTTAGGACCTTTTTGAGTGTTCAGTTACACGTCCAGTTTATGTGATTAGGCAAAGCATGCGTGGAACAGATATTTGAATTTATGACAAAATAAACAACGCCGTCTTCGTTTGAATCGATTGAATTTGATTGAAATGCACCTTTATAAAATGTAAATTATCGCGACCCGCCACTATGGAGATTCGATTCGGAGGAATGATTAACCGGAGAAGGATTATGAATTGTAAATGTAAATGTAGCGCATTATTTTATCTAGCTGATCATTACGCACGCCACATCATATAGCTCCAGATTTAACATATCTACCGTAGTCACAAAATATCACATAGTCACAAAAATATCTTTACTTTATAGGTTATTTCTGAAAAAAAAAAGAAATATATATAATAACGCATATTTACACAATTAAAAAATGTATAGTATACATCACTTATCGTAATTAAAAATAGAGCTTAGTAAGATGATTTAACTAAAAAAAAATAAAAATAAAAATATTAGATTGTCATTACGATTTAAGAGTTAATAGTGAAAATTTAATCATACAAATCGTATTAACCAGTACCTATATACGGTAAGAATGTAGTTATTCGGTTTAGATAATGTTAGGTGACCAGGGTGTGGTGATATTTTGCACGTTTTTGAAAATGTTTTAATATAAGATGCAGGATCACGTGCCTGTGCTATGAAACGTCTCGGAATGTGGTACGCGACTGGTGGTGGTCTGTTTGCGATAAAAATGGTAAACGCATTTGTAATTTTAAAATTATTATTATTATTATTATTATTATTACATATTTAATTGAATAAATAAATCAACTATGCAAAAAGGAACTTACATATCCACTATATAGAGTAGAACGCTACACACAAAATTTTTGAAATTCCTATTTAAATTATTTGTTCGCTTGTATAGATATCACACTCATAATTCATACAGTTAACACTTGTAGTGCTTCTGCTCAATTTGTAGGGGATTATATACATAAGTGTGTAGCGTCTTTGGGCCTAAGTTTTCTTTTTACATTGTATTGACTAATAGATAATTATTATAGGAATTTATGTGTTTAGAAAAGTATTTTAAATATTTAGATAATAATCTTAATGTTATTAAAAATAATAGATCAATGTTTAGGATGAGATGCCAAATTTAAAGTCAATACACATTATTTTAGGTAAAATGATTAATGAAGTAATCTTAACATTTATTGAAAAGTTGATGAAAATGTTACAGTTAAATTATATTACAGAGTTTTATTAAACGCAATATATTATGCAATTGTATTCATTGTGAATTAGATATTGTTTCAATTTGTTAGTTAAAGTTGTGCATTGATAATTGTGAAGTTGATTCAGATTTTTCTTGATTACTTCATTTGTTTCTGATTCCACGTTTCCCTTAGCCAATGCTGGTCTTATTACAAATTAATACTAACTGTATTTATATACTTCATGAATACTAGGTGTTATTACTACAACACATATCTCCTCATATCATCCAGTGCTTAAACTTTATTGCGCTTCGTAAGTTTTCGTCTATTGCCATGTTAACTATATTTTTATATTCTTTATTGAGAAGAATAAAAGCCAACATATCAATAAACAGAAACTTAGCTATCAATGCTTTTCGAGTTCTTCACTTGGCTTTGAAGTTCTGTTTTCTTTCACTTCGCCGCGACACATTAATCTGAATAATCGTTTTTTTCTTATATTTTAATCGTTTGGTAAGTTAGTGTCTACTACACCTATTTCTTTATTTTTAATTTTAAGCCTTTTTTGTGTGTGGTCAATTTCATTTTTATTTTCAATTTCATAATTAAACTATTATTATCATTGATACTTTTTGTTCATTATTTTTCTCCAATCCCATCCTATTACCTTTTTCCTATTATTTTTTTAAACTTACAATGTACCAATTGTATACCGTACACCATAGGTAACTAGATGTTTGAGATTGCCATTTTCACTAAGTCCGTATTCTGTATGTCAGTTTTGAAATCAATAAAATCAATGTTTTATCTTATTAATACCTGAATACAAAATAATATCGTTATTTCGGTAATCATTTCGTTGCGTAATAAATGAGAAATCATTGTAAATAAAATTTATAAAATATTAAATGGGATCAATATAATGAAAAAAAATATGTACAATTAGTACACAATTGGTATTCTAGACTTATTCGTACTTTAGATCTAACTTCTATCTGTCATTAATCTACACGATCTTACACTAACTTCAAAACGCTTCGAAGTACTACTATAGAAATATGAAATTCGTCTTGCGTTCACACGAGTGATCTGACTAGTAAATGAATATTAGGAAATGCTTAAATGAATTTTTGTAAAGGAGTAAGGGACTTAAATATCGCCAATGATAAATATGATATGTTTTATATAATATTATCAAATGGAATATACTACGCACAGGGTATGTTGTGAATTTTTAATGCTGTCCAGGGGCTAAGTGAAGCCCACGACAGTTATTTTGTGTCCGTGCCACGTCCCTTATTCCCAAAACGCGAAGAACTGAATCATTCCGTATTTAAACTGTTGTCTTAGCAAAATATATACAACTGCCAATCGAAAGAGGTTTTCCCACGGGACCCGACTCACCACAATGTCCAAGTAAGGGAAAAGATTATATTAAAATTACACACTCATAATATCATATCTATTTTAGAGATTAGATGATACTCATAAATTTAAGTATCAAATGTTAAGGAAATCGGGTGAATCTAATACATGGCAGTTGTAATCTTGTTATATTATCTGCAAATGTAAATATAAAATACAATTACGTTACATATAGTTACATATAAAAATATATAGTATCTACATACAGTAAAGAATAACATAATCATTATTGTAAGATTAACTAATTAATTGTATCCTATTCTAATTTCAATAGGTAAATCTAGTTTAAATCTACTAATCGAAATAAAAAAAAACTTCCTAGCTAACATTAGATTACCGTGGCTCCTTGCTAAATAAATGATCGTTAAGTTGTTTATTTTAAATGAATTTAATGGTGTGCAAATCGAAGGGTTGTGTGTAAAGTTAAAATAGTTTAATAGATTTAAACAATCGTTCATGTAACGTAAAAAAANAATTTCAATAGGTAAATCTAGTTTAAATCTACTAATCGAAATAAAAAAAAACTTCCTAGCTAACATTAGATTACCGTGGCTCCTTGCTAAATAAATGATCGTTAAGTTGTTTATTTTAAATGAATTTAATGGTGTGCAAATCGAAGGGTTGTGTGTAAAGTTAAAATAGTTTAATAGATTTAAACAATCGTTCATGTAACGTAAAAAAATTGTTTTCTCAAACGTGCACATCTACTTTATTTAACCTAGACTGTTCTGGAACTATCCAAATTCAATATCATAGCGTTTTAATCGATATGCCAAAGACCAATCATTGGGACATAATAACAGGGATCTAATACTTACCTATTTTTTTTTTCTTTTCACCACCTAACTTAAATTCTCGATAATAATATACATTTTATGGACGTTACACGTTATAAGCTCTAGCGGAAGAATTAGTTATAACGAGTATTAAATTGAAAAATAAAAACATATTTTGATGATAGCCGTTCTTGAAGATTAAGTAATCGTTCTGTGAAGTTCAAAGGCCTCTTGAAGCCGGAAACGCTGATGTCTACTTTACTGCAGATATAAATTATAATAATATTACACTTCTTACAATCTAAGTGACTACCCTATTGAACTCTAGATTTATTCTTTGTGATTTTATAATAAAATATAGTTGAAAATAATGATTGTGTGTTTTATTTTAAATTTCAATATCCTTACATTTAGCTGCAATAAAAAAGCATTGCTTAAATTTAATTATTTCTTTCACCCGCCACATACTAGCTCTTTGCAATGCGATACGGCCGTTAAATTTTCCGAAAAAATATAATATATTGGAGAATCAGTTTTCTTTTTAGACTTTCGAAGACAGATGAGCCAACATACGACCTGCTGTTGAGGTGTTTTCCACCGGGTGCAAATAAAGTATCATGGCCTAGGGGCATCAGCAATTTCAAGGACACGGCCAAATCACTGTTCACCGCCGAGGACTTTTTTGAATCTTATTGCTATTAGTACAAGTTTTTCTGGTGGCTTACTGGTGGTAGGGAGTCTTGTGATCCTATACGGGTAGGTACCACTGCCATGCCAATTTCTGCCCTAAACCTGTACTATAAAACGGAGACTTAGAACTCGGGTCAGGTGGGAGCGCTATCCACGTTGTTAATGTATACCGCTTTCACCGATCTAAGCAACGATCAATGCGACAACAAGGCAGATTATAGGCAGGATGAAATGAGTAAATGATTTGTTAAAAATATTGTTATATACTTTACGACACAACTATTCTGCTACTAGGCAATTTATTAAGTAGAATTAAAATAAATAAAAATATACAAAAACGTCACGAATATTATATTTATTTAGGTCCCGATATTTGGACAATATAATATACCTAGTATCTCGAAGCAAGTAAATTGAGTACAATTGTTAACCGCTAATCTAATGATAACTTCAAATCTTTTTTTCTTAAATGGGTGAACGAACTTACCGCACACATCTTGTGTCCAATGCTTACTGGAGCTCATTTATATCTCTAATTGAATACAGATATGCCTTAATGCTCGAAATCGAAGAATAAAATTTTATAACGGCTCTCCCGTCCTTAAAATCGAAGCGTATTTTTTTTTTGTTGCTTATGTTTGTAGACGAGCTCACAGCCCACCTGGTGTTAAGTGGTTACTGGAGCCAACGTAAATCCGCCACCCATCTTGAGATATAAGTTCTAAGATCTCAGTATAGTTACAACGGCTGCCCTACCCTTCAAACCGAAACGCATTACTGCTTCACGGCAGAAATAGGCAGGGTGGTGGTACCTACCCGCGCGAACTCACAAGAGGTCCTACCACTAGTAATCAAGCAAATTATAATTTTGCGGGTTTCATTTTTATTACACGATGTTGTTCCTTCATCGTGGAAGTCAATCGTAAGCATTTGTTGAGTACGTAATTCATTACAAAAATTGGTACCCACCTGGGATTCGAACACCGGTGCATCGCTCAACACGAATGCACCGGGCGTCTTATCCCTTAGGCCACGACGACTTCAAAAGCGAGCTCACAGCCCACCTAATGTTAAGTGGTTAACGGAGCTCATAGACATCTACAACGTAAATATTGCCACCGCCTCGAGACATGAGTTCTAAAGTCTCACTTTTAACAGTACAGCAGCTACCCCGCCCTCCAGACCAAAACGCAATACTGCTTCATGGTAGAAATAGTCAGGGTGGTGGTACCTACCCGCGCGGATTTTCAAGAGGTCCTACCACCAGAAAAAGTTTAGCTACGCACACCACCAATTAACTGGAGCTAAGTAAGCCGAGTTGAAGTATCCTCATACTACACTATTGTTGAACGACGTCGTTGCACATAACAAAATTTTCATTAATTTAAACACAAAATACTAAATATTTGAAATAAAGTAACGCGATAATTGAATAACTTATTTACACATGTGAAAATAACTTAAGAATACGAATTATTTTAAGAGCTATTCACTGATAGGCTGAATCGTGCTAGTGACATTTTTGGCAAATTGCGTATTTATATACAAAGTGGAGTTATTTCGTTGGAGGTCCAGTCATCTCGGGGGTACCAGTGCCTGTCACACTGGTCTATTATGGCGTGCCTTCAGATAAGCGTTTCAGTGAGTAAGCTCCCAGTGGGTAAGCTCCAGTGAGTAAATGTGTAAGTAATATGCATGTCGCCAACACCCACGAGTGCAACAATGTGATGTGAAAAGTTTGACCTTCGTCTTTTTTCTTTTATTGCGCATGTGTAAAAAGAATAAAATTAAAATAAGATAAAATCGTAATCACTATCATTATTACAACACAACATACTTTATTTGACAATAAAATTAACTAGGTATAATAGCCGGCAAACTTCTTGAGCATTTGTTGACGTAGTGGGGGTAAGTTCGCGCATGGTACACTCACGTGCAAAAACATTATTTACTCTGCGTCATAATGCAATTAAATTATTAAAATCAACATATGTATTTATTTATATATTTATTAGAACATCAAAAAATATGTGTTAATAATTGTAATAATTTAATCTTGGGGTAAAATAGATATTCTTTCTATTAAATCAAAACTAGAGCTGTTGCCAGGTTCAGTTGAAGCGAAGCTGGTATTTGTAATTTTTTTTTCGTTATCATAATCTTGACCATCATCATCATCACTGTTTTCATCACCCGAGTCGCTATCATCGTGATGAGTCGACATAGGGCTCATTGGTGTAGTTTACAACTCGGTCGGTTCGGTCTTCTTTTTTGTCTATAATTAATTATTTTTTGAAGATATTCGATTCGTAGTAATCGAATGTAACTTTTTTCAATTACCAGCTTCCAATTATTTTCTGGTATTTTTTTCTATCTGAAGCCTAGCTCTTTCATAATTCGTTGTAAACTTCAAATCGAGCCATTAAAATATATATCTTCTTTAAATTTTTCGAAGCCTTTCTACGCTACGGAGTTTCACTGCTTGTTATGTAGTTATTATGATTACATCTTTTTATTACAGATTGAACGAAACTATCCATTCCGGTAACTTTCGTCTTCCCTGATCTTTTCTTACCCGGAGTCCGAAACACGGCGAGCAAGCCAGAGCCTTTAGCTTCGTTAATAATGCCCTACTCACTGATGTTTCTGTTGCTTCCGAAGTCTGTTTTACTTTTTCCATATCATTCTTCCCCTGTTTTATAATGAAGCAATATACGTCGTACACAATTTTTCTACCCTTTCTTTTGAATACTACACAAGTTTGTCGCGGCATAGTGTATTTTTATAAAAAAATCAACAAACAGTCAACAAATAGCAATGGCAACAAAGTCAACAAGCAATTATAACAAAATATAACATAACGATGAATAACGATAGACTTTTCACCGTACGCAAGCGTACTTTTGGGAGCAAACGGAACGAGGGCGCGGTGCGGGGCGCAAGGTTCGTCTGATCTACCAATAACGCGCTCGATACGGTTTCCTCTGCCGTCGCGCCTCACCCTCACCACCAAAGTGATCTAAAATTCGGTTCTGCGCAGTCAAAGTCATTTGCTCAAGAAGTTTGCCGGTTACTATACATACCTAATTGTCCAAACTATTTTCTAGATACAAAAATGTCCAAAGAAAATTAAAATATGATTTTAGAATTACAGGTAGGTACTTACCAAAATGCTGAATTGCGGTAAAGGCATTTTTTTAAAGTATTCGTATAATTGCAAAAAGCGAATAAAATATATTGAGGGTCACTATCACAATGATTTATTAAAATCCTCTTCTTTCTATTATTTTTAAGCATGACAATCGGCTTTTTGGGATGCCATTGCTGCCAGCGATGAGTTTATGAAAATCTTCAATTATTAAATACATATTCAGTTATTTTTTGGTCAACTTTGACCTAACTTTGACTTTGAGCTAAAAGTTGACCAGAGGCTATCCACCAAATGTCTATATAGAGTGCTCCAATACTTTGGTCATATAGCAAGAAAACCCTCTGACAACCTGGAGAGACTCATAGTGACAGGTAAAGTGGATGGAAGACGATCTAGAGGTCGTAGCCGAAAAAGATGGAGTGACCAAGTGTCTGAGTATCTGGACATGAGACTGAGCCACGCACTTCACTGTGCCACTGACCGACATAAGTGGCTAAAAATTACAAAAAAAGGTCACAGGCGGGCGCATCACGATGCTCAGAAATGAGCGATCGACTGAAGGAGGATGAGGATTCAGTTATAGGAAAAATGATATAGCAATGAATGAGGTGAAGTTGATTTATTTGAGTCCGTAATCAATTGGGATGAAATTACATTTTCATGTTCATGAGATGTGTTTAAATAGTCTCAGTAAACTGGTGATTATTTATTGAAAATTCAGCGGACCTTCCGGAAGATTTCGAGAAACCATGCCTAATGGCTTTTTTTTAGTCATGACGTAGCTCTGCGGTCCCGTTCGATCGAAGTCGTTTCAGAATTAGACTCAGACCACCGCCCCGTCGTTATAAAGCTTGGTCGCACTTCCGATTAGGTTCCCGTCACGAAAACTGTGGTGGATTGGCACACACTGGGCTTCAGCCTAACTGAATCTGATCCACCATCGCTCCTGTTCAGCCCAGACTCTACCCCATCCCCTCAGGATACCGCTGAAGCCATAGACATCGTAACGGCGCACATCACCTCGACATTAGATAGATCATCGAAGCAAATTGTAGCGGAGGACTTGCTTCAATTGCCCGACGATGTTAGGGACTCCTTAGGGCCAAGAACGCCTCGATCCGCACCTACGATAGGTAGACTACCTACCTACCGAAGTCCGAGATGCCAGATGGTCTAATTTTTTAGAATATACTCTCAAATCGGATATCATTTCATTTAATTTCATCCCAGTTGATTAATGTCTCAAATTACTTATCTTCATTTCATTTCACTTCATATTATTATTTTTCATAAAAATAAGAACATAAATTAAAATAATACGTGACTTAAAGGTCTTAGTTACCAGGTCATAAAATCCCTTTAAAAAAAGATCATATAAGTTAAAAGTTCAGATTGGTTGGTGATGTCTGTCTTGTCTGTTGTTATCAAAAAGGGAAAGGGATCTTGTCGAAATGATACGAACGGTGATCAGGTTGTCTCCAAGTTTTGGTTTACCAATTTTTCGTGAAAGAAATGAAAATGATTACGATGTCC